GGCATCTCAGACTTGACATGTCATAAAACAAAGGTCAGCTTTTCTCCTAAACCTTGCTCCTCCCGTAGGTTTCTTTCTCCAGTCAGTGGCATCACCACTTGCCCAGTTGCTCAGATCAGAAACTAGAGTCACTTTCACAGTCTACATGCAACCTGTCAGCAGAGTGTTTAGAATCTGGTGACTTTGACAACTACTACTACCACTTCCCACCTCCCTGGTTCAAGCCACTGTCGTCTCCCCACTATCGTGGTAATAGCCTCCCAGTTGCTCTCTGTGCCTCCACTCTTTCCCACTAAAGTCTGTTTAACATGTAGCAGCCAGATTAGTTGGTAGTATTTATCAGAGCACATCCAAAGTAAACCATTTGCTGGTGATACAGCTAGGACTAAAATTCAGATCTGCTATGCTGCAGTGCTTTTCCCAGAAACAGGATGGCTCTGGTGAACAGACTCTGATGAGTTTACAGGTGTCAGTTTTCTTGTGGGGAGATTGTCACCAAATTCCATTTTGATAACATTTTGAGAAGACTAGATATGACCATCCCCTCTCCTCTCCTCATGTGGTGTAAATATTTCTAATTCATTAAGATTCATTTAAAAAAATTTTTTGTGCTTATTTATACCTCTTAACACCTAGCATCTCATACTGTTATTTATTCTCTGAAACTGTTGTAAAAAGTCAACATGGTCTGGGCACGGTGGCTCCTGCATGTAATCCCAGCACTTTGGGAGGCCAAGGCAGGCAGATTACTTGAGGTTGGGAGTTCGGGGCCAGCCTGACCAACATAGAGAAACTTTGTTTCTACTAAAAATGCAAAATTAGCTGAGCATGGTATAATCCCAGTTACTTGGGAGGCTAAGGGAGGAGAATTACTTGAATGCAGGAGGCAGAGGTTGCAGTGAGCCGAGATCGCGCCATTGCACTCCAGCCTGGGCAAACTCCATCTCAAAAAAAAAAAAAAGTCAGTATCTAGTTGTAACAAACATGCTTATTTTATCTTCTTTATTGCTGGATACTAAATGTCATTTAACATTGTATTGAATTGATGAGATTTTTTGTAACAATCTTCAAATTTTTTTGTTCATGCCTCTTGTATTTCACCAATATAAGTGTGATCATGCATGTTGGTTTATGATGAACTTTTGAAACAAGCTAAGAAACTACTATATACCTGTTTTTAATTAAAAATAGGTTTAAGTTTTATTGAACTTCTTTAAGCAGATTTTTTTTAATTTGAAAAAGTCTTTTTTCACATTTAGAAAAATAAGACTTTTTAAAAACAATAATTTTTGCATTCCTGTGATAAATTCTACCCTGTGAAGGTAGATTATTACATGTTTGAAAACATTATACTTTTCACCAAGAAAAAATATATAACCTGGCATGTTATTTTAGCGGATTGATAGTTATACTTTGCCAGGTACCTTTTATTGTTAAAAAGGAAAGGGTTTATTTTGTTAATAGCTTTGTTTTATTTAATGGAGTCTATGCTGGAATTGATCATTTAATAGCATTTTTCTTAAGTCAAACTTTTCATGTTAATTGTAGCAATACTTTGAAATTTTGTTTTCTTTTGGATATTTTTGCTAAAAATTATTTATTGTATAAAAATAACAAAAGAGGGAACTGTAAAATTGTGTCATTTAGAAAACTTTGCCTAATGGAGATAAATTATTGTCTTTTCCAGAGATTCCGGACATTCTAAATGCAAGTAATCTGAAAACATTTAGGTGAGTCTGTCTTGTATTGTTGCCTTGACGCTGTATGTAAAGTACGTGACAAGTGAACTTTCTTCCCCTTTGAGTCTAGACGGTGGAACTAAAAGAAAATCAGGGGTTTCTTTTAACCTTTTCTTTTTTATCAGACCAAGTAAGAATTTTCTGAAGTTGTGCTTATAAATACTTGATATGCATTGACAGGATAGTGACCTGGTGTGCTTGTTTTTCAAAATGGTTTAAGATACATTATTATTACAGTACCTCAAAGTATGTGATCTCACTGTTCCTCCCTTAGTTCTTATTTTTTTAAAAAAAGAAATAAGAGCAACAGACGTGATGGCTCAGTCACATCCCTAGGCTGTTCTGTAGCAGCCTCTTTCGCAGAGGAGATGGTTCTAGGAATGATTCCAGGGAACAGGTTAAGTCATCAAGACTCGCTTTGTCCAGCGGTCTCTAGTTGTACTCTTTTGTAAACTGGGAAACTACTGAGTAGGATTTCAATTTTTTAGGTTTTTTTTTCTCTTTTTTCAACTTTTATTTTAAATTCAGAGGTATATGTGCAGGTTTGTTACGAAGGTATATTGTGTAATGTTAAGGATTGGTGTAAGAATGGATCCATTACTCAGGTAGTGAGCATAGCACACAAGAGGTGGTTTTTCTTACCTCTTACCCCTCTTCCTCCCCTGTCTTGTATTTCCCAGTGTCTGTTGTTCCCATTTTTATGACTTTATGTACCTAATGTTTAGCTCCTACTTCTAAGTGAGACATGTAGTATTTGCTTTTGTGTTTGTGTGTTACTTACTTAGTTCACTTAGGATAATATATAAAACTCCTAGAAGAAAACCTAGGGAATACCCTTGTTGATACTAGGCTTTGCAAAGAATTTATGGCTAAGCCTTCAAGCAATTGCAATAAAAACAAAGTTGGACAAATGGGACCTAATTTCTGCACAGCAGGAGAAACTGTCAAGGCAGTAATCAGACAACCTATAGAATGGGAGAAAATATTCTCAAACTGTTTGCATTCAACAAAGGCCTAATATCCAGAATCTATAAGAAACAAATGAATCAGCAAGCAGTGTTTTAGTTTTTAAACACAGGTTCTGTTTTATTAAGCACTTTGGTCTTAACTAGACCATGTTGATGGCTCTTATATTTAATGTTAATTGAAATTAGATAAATTTAAATCCAGTCATCTTTTGTACTTTTGAATTCATTGAAACTAAATTAGCTTTAATAGAATTCATCTATCATGTGTAAGATGCAGTTCACTTTTGAGCTTATGTATAGCATGTATTTATCATTTAAATTTATGGAGCTTAAGTTCCTTTTTATACCTTTTTATTTTGCCTGCAATCAAATATATAAATATGCCCTTTATTTCTAAAACAATATATCTTCTACTCCCTCCAAACAAAGCCAGAAACAAGAAAAGAGATGAGTATAGCCTTCTGGTTAGAGTTCAGTTCCCAAAACAATATCCATATTATTTCTAAAGTAATTAATTATCACAGAAAATACTGAGGTTGAATAACTGAATATTTTCCATTATAAGAATAACAGTTGTTTGATTTCTGAAACTTAACTGGGATGTACTTCTGTGTGTGAAAAGGAAAACCTCTTCTGACTTTATTTTGGAGATTTGTCAGGTATGATAACAATTTCTACTTTTGATTGTGATTTCTTGATCTGGGTAGCCTGAGAGAAGGAGATACTCAGGGAGGATGAAAGAATAGAACAGCTTTCTTGTAATTTATGCTTAATATTTTCCTTTAGTGCTTTTGAAGTTTTGAATTTGGAGGATCCTCTGAGTTTCAAAAATTTACTGTCTCCTGTTTTTTCACTTCAACACGCTGTACTCTTTTTTTTTTCCCTTTTGTCTAGGGAATGGGACTTTGATCTGAAGAAGTTGCCAAACATTAAAATGAGAAAAATTTGCGCTAATGATGCAATTCCGAAGAAGTGTAAGAGGAAAACTGTTATAACTGTACATCAAAATTTAGGAGAATTGGAACTAAATGATGAAAATTTAGGAGAACTGGAACTAAATGATGAAAATTTAGGAGAACTGGAACTAAATGATGAATCAAGTGACTCAGATGCGGAAATGACTGCAGTGGCCTAATTGTCTACACTTGAATTGAAAATAAATAAATTGAGAGTTTCAAATGATATTCATTGATTATGGTACATAATTGTCAATATACAAGAATTTGGTATTGACATTCTCTTATACAATGAGAGTTTCATTTGCAGTTTCAAAAATGGTGTTAGATTTATTTTAAAATGAACATTGCTTTTCATTTATAATAAGTTGCTAAAATAGATAGACATGATCTGCAAAAAGTTGTTTAATCTTTTTCATCTTAATTTCGGGCTGGGAGGAAGCAATATAACCCTCTCCCAGCTCGAATGTTTTGGACAAAAAATGGTATTTTTTTCGTGTGTGTGTGTATTTATGATTACCTAATTTCACATTTTGTGATATGGACAGTAACCTTCTCTCTCGCTTTTGGCTCATAGTTAAGTCTTAAAATGGTTGTAAAAACTGAGTTATAAATTACATGAAAGAGATTAAGAATTGCTTAAACTGACACTTAAATGCCCCTACTGTTAGATGAATAACTTGTGAAAAATGACAGATTGTCCTCCTTCTTAAATATTTGTTTCTAATTTCCTCTGTGTTGTCAAAGCAAAGATTATAACTAATAAGCTACACTGCTGGGAAACTAGATTAGATAAGCATTTATTGAATGAATGTGTTTACCATTTAGGACCATAGTAATTATGTCACTCCTAGTTGGATCAAAGTAGCCTCAGAGATAACTTGTCTTTAGAGTGATGCTTAAGATGTCCTTAATCCTTACCTGTTAAACATGTTCACATGGGGTGATAACTTGTGCTCCCTTCTTCTAGACCGCTTCTAAGTCAGTGGCACATTTTTGTAAGACAACATCTATAGTTCATGGCCATGAAACAAAGTAAAGGTAACTTATTTTTGTAAACTAGAGGCTAGCAAACTGTTTCTTTGTAAAAGGCCAGAAAGTAAATATTTAATATATTAGGCAGCATAGGCCAAATGTAGTTTCTGTTGCATATTCGTGAACATATGTGTGTTTGCCACCCTTTAAAAATACAACAACCGCCTGGGCATGGTGCTTACGCCTGTAATTCCAACACTTTGGGAAGCCTAGGTGGGTGGATCACTTGAGGTCAGGAGTTCGAGACCAGCCTGGCCAACATGGTGAAACCCCATCTCTACTAAAAATATAAAAATTTGCCAGGTGTGTTGGCAGGTACCTGTAATCCCAGCTACTCGGGAGGCTGAAGCAGGAGAATTGCTTGAACCCAGGAGTCAGAGGCTGCCGTGAGCTGAGACTCTGCCACATTGTGCCACTAACCTCCAGCCTGGGTAGCAGAGCGAGATGCTGTCTCAAAAAATAAAATAAAACAATAATATAAAAAACATTCTTAGTTAATGGCCATACAAAATAGGTTGGGGGATTGATTTGCTTGTCATAATTGGCCGATCCCTTGTCTAAACTAATGAGCTGAACTTCCATGGACATAAGTTAATGATACATTCCCAAGTTCAGAGCAGCTAACACACATCTGTGGTCTTTTCCCCCAATATCTTAGTTGCTTCCTTGACGTAATTACTGACAGAAGTGTCCCTTCAGGACCTTGCCTACCTCAGGTAGAAGCTTTTTCTATTCTTATTTTCCATGTGCTTCAGGAGCAGGAGATTAGGTAGATGTCCTCTTTGCTCTACTGTCACTTCAGAATAATTAATAAAGACCCCCTTGGGTCTTTGAAGTCCTATTCTTGCCTCCTTTCCTTATCTTTCTTCCAAGAAGAACCTTCTGCCGGTTCATAGAATACTTTAGTGCATGGCCTAGTTTTCTTCTCCCCTGTAGCAATCATTTTAGTGATTTCTTGTGGATAACAAATAGCGGCTAGCAAATATAACAACACTATGTTTTAAGTTTTCCAGTCTTTTTCTCTATCCCACCACTGGCCTCTCAGTGGTCGCACCTGGATCCTTATCAGCACCTCCACTCTGTAGACCTGATTTTGAATGTTCCACTCTCCATTCACTGTCACCGCCCCTCTTCACTGCTGAAGTTCTGCACTTTGACCTCACTCTCGTTACGCATCATCTGTCTTGTTCAGCTCAAAGTTCATTTTTGCTTCCTTGCGTACACCCTCAATTCCTTTGCCCCTGACTCTGTATTCCTCTTTCAGAACCCAAACCAAGTAATAGCTATGTTTCCTTCATGCCTGTTTTCAAGCAGCCCAACATTGCTGAAGAATTATCGAACAGACCATTTTCATACTGATGTTTGCAGATCTCAAGTGGATTCTCAGTACTGCTTAGTGATGTTTACTATGTTCCCCTACTAAGTTCATTTTCTAACTTTGAGATAATTATTTTACTACTTTTTTATTTTTTCTAGCTTGACTTGAACTAGCCTTCTCAATGTCCAACCCTTTGTTTTTTATACATCTTTAAGAAAATGTAAATTACCATTTTCTTTTGGTTTAATGGATGTATCTTTTCCTTTCAAAGGCAAATACTCCTACTTGTGTTGTTTCCCACTCCTTATTTTCTCAGAAACCTTGATTTTTTTAGGTTTTTCATCTAATTTTTCAAGCCAGAAATCTGCCTATAAAATCATCCTTGATTTTTCACTTTATCTCTTCTGTGCCTTCCCCCAGTATGACTTAATTAGTGATTATTTCTTCTACTTCAAAAATGAAAATCAAATCGGCCCGTGTCAGGCAATCTCTACTTTACCAAAGCCACTATGTCTTTCCTGTTCTATGTGCAGTAGCTCCTTAACTGGCTTTCTTGCCACTGTTCTTACTCTTGCCAGCATGCTGATGACCTGGTGTATGGCCGCGTAAGCCACAGCTGGGCAGGGTTTTGTCGCAGATGACCTGACTGAACCTTGGAGGACTGTTCTGTAATCTAACTGGAACATGGGAATATGGAGGATATCATTTGCCTCTTGATCTTTTGGGAAGGAGATAGTGAGGCAGTTTCTCATCACCTGGGTTCTGATGAACTCTTGAGACTCCACCTCGAGTCACTTGTGGCATAGAGCTGCAAGACTGGTGCAAAAGTAATTACAACTCCTGTCATTTTTATTTTTTATTTTTATTTTATTATTATAAGTTCTGGGGTAAATGTGCAGATCGTGCAGGATTGTTACATAGGTGCACACATGCCATGGCGGTTTGCTGCGTTCATCTCCCCACCATCTACATTAGGTATTTCTCCTAATGTTATCCCTCCTCAACCCGTCCCCTAGTATCCCTCCCATAGCTCTCCCACCCCCCAACAGGCCCCAGTGTGTGATGTTCCCCCCCGTCTCCTTGTGTTCTCATTGTTCAACACCCACTTATGAGTGAGAACATGTGGTGTTTGGTTTTCTGTTCTTCTGTCAGTGGAATGATGGTTTCCAGCTTCATCCATGTCCTTGCAAAGGACATGAACTCATCGTTGTTTATGGTTGTGTGGTATTCCATGGTGTATATGTGCCACATTTTCTTTATCCACTCTATCATTGATGGGCATTTGGGTTGGTTCCAAGTCTTTGCATGTGCATGTGTCTTTACGGTAGAACGATTTGTAATCCTTTGGGTATATACCCAGTAATGGGATTGCTGGGTCTAATGATATTTGTTTCCTTGAGAAATTGTCACACTATCTTCCACAGTAGCTGAACTAATTTACAATCCCACCAACAGTGTAAAAGCGTTCCTATTTCTTCACATCGTCTCCAGCATCTATTGTCTCCAGATTTTTTAGTGATCACCATTCTAACTGGTGTGAGATGGTATCTCAATGTGATATACGGTTTTGATTTGCATTTCTCTAATGACCGGTGATGATGAGCATTTTTTCATATGTTTGTTGGCTAGATAAATGTCTTCTTTTGAAAAGTGTTTGTTCATATGCTTTGTCCACTTTTGGATGGGGTTGTTTTTTTCTTGTAAATTTGTTTTCTGTCATTTTTAAAAAAGTGTTTTAATGGCAAAAACTGCAATTACTTTTGTACCAATCTAATATAATACTTAGCTGTGACATGGACTCAGCATCTCAGCGGCTGACTGCCCTTCCCCTTACGTGTATTATCGTGTCATCTGGTCCCTTTTCTGTTTGTGTCTTTCTGTAGGGCAAGACATTATGGGAAGGCTGCACCTTTGCATTATACTGTCTCTATAAGCACAGTTGACCCTCCATATCTAAGGGTTCCACATCCTTGGATCCAACCAACCACAGATGACAAATATTCTAGTAAAAAAAAATGATGTACTGAACATGCAGACATTTTTCTTGTCATTATTCTTTAAAAAATATATTATCATGACTATTTACATAGTATTAGGTACTATAAGATACTCAGAAATGATTTTAAGTATACAGGAGGATATATATAGGTTATATGCAAATACTACACCATTTTTATATCAGGGACTGAGTGTCCATGAATTTTGGTATACGAAGGAGGTCCTGGGACCAGTCCTCCACACATACTGAGGGACAACTGTAATAACAGCCTTACTAGGGCTTATTTCTCTACTGGCCGAATATATCAGCCTTGCTTGACATTTCCCATTCAGGACTTTGGTACTTACCATTCCCTCTGCCTGCGTTGCCATTCCCCTGAGCTTTTGCAAGACCAACAATAACTGAGTGTTCTTTCTTCCTTTAGGTTTGAGCTTAAAAGTGTCCTCTTTATGTAAAGCATCTCTACCGTGACACCCTTGCTTCTCTTGGTAATCTCTATCACAGCACCCAGTTTAGGATCATTGCACACATAATGACAGTGATTAATGATCTAGGAGTGTTTGCCATAAATTCTGGTGATGAGGGAGGGTGATAAGTTCAGATTTCCAGTTTGGTCAGAATAGTTAGCAGCCTGGTAGAAAGCCCTGTAGGTCCTTAGAAGGTGGACATTTGGAATGGGCTTTGTTTTTGCTATCACCAAACCTCTTAGATTCCAGTATCTTGCTTTTAATGTTTATTATCCATGCAATTTTCTGAATCCACTATTATCTCTGAATAGAAAAATGCCGTTATAGTCTTATTTTTCTATATCCAAGCCTTATTCTTGAGAAAATCTTTCTTTAGATTACGTTGTGATTTCTCTTAAACATTTTTTTTAAGGCAGGTTTGAAAGTCCACATAGTTTATTTCCATTGGTTTCCCTCTGTTAGCGTATTTATTCCTTTGTACAATGTCATTAGTTAGTCAGTGTAGGTTTGCTTTAAAATATGTTCAGACCCTTGTAAAATCTTAAATAAAAAATTTATGTCTATTGTGTACGTTGCAAATACAAATATCAGTATGTTAGGCAAAAAGTATAGAAAACACAACCAAGGTTTGCGTCACTTGTTTAATATACAAAGTCTTTCACAGATTATTATTTTCTTTTTCTTAATTTGCTTTAGTACACTTGATTCACAAAACAGTAAGTTGTTAATGTAAGAGAATTATGTAAAACCAAAATAGTACAAATGCCTAATTTCAAAAACTGCACACAGTTAAAATAATTTTCCCTTCTTTGTTTTAATGCAGTATCCAGTTTGAAAATGGGCTTTCTTTAGATGTAGAGGAAACACAGCAGCCCAAAATAACAGTAATTCCTGTCAACTGTGTTGATATGTAAAATAGCACCATTGGGCTGAGTCAGGAAAGAAAAAAGGTTTTCATCTTTCTTAATTAAAGTATTATATAACAACTATAATAATGATGATACTAATAACTTTTAAGAGCTCTACTCTGTTTCAGAATATTCATTTTCAAGGCAAGGAAGGGTAAACTATGGGGCAGATGGAAGAATCTTTCCACCTGATCCCCAGCACCCTTAGAATTTCCCTTAATGGTGTCATTGCTCTAATGAGCTAATTTTCCTGTCAAAGAATAGATGTTTTAAAGGGTACCCAAGGATTTTTCGTAAAACAAGATAAAATATAACTGAGATCTCCTCTCTGGGACCATAATCACGTACAGAAGCAGCGCAGTGAGATTTAATGCTGGGGTGTTTTGAAAAACTCATTCAGTCTATACCTATCTTCCTTCAGTTTACATGTTGCTGTATCTCAGGTTGTTGGGCTCACTTTAGATTTTTTCATTTTTATTTTGTTTTCATACTTAAGCTTAATTGCTTTTTGGGCTTCAGTTTTTTTTTTTTTAAATTGCAATTTCTTTCTTTTACAATTTAATCTTTACTCCTGTACAATATTAAATTAACAGTGTCAATGCCTGTGGTTTATGGTATTGATAACACTGATGAGTCATGATTATAAAAAGCCAAGGTTTTTAACAGAACTGTAAGTTCATTCTTCAATTTTAGTCCTTTATTTCAATTCCATTTTATTTCTTCCATGAGCAGGTAAGCATGCCTCAGAATTGGCATTCTGTCCAACAGTTTTTCTTTTTGAAGGGGACGGCCAGCCACAAGAAAGCACTGCCACAAAGCTAATCGTTTTTATTGTTTTAAAGCGCAAATATTCCATTGCCACACAGAATGTAAAATAAAAATAATTAACATTAGGTTTTAGATGCAGGTAGTTACTTCAGATGTTTGAACCATAAACAACCATTGCTGAAAAGCTCCTGAAAAACTTGAAATTCAGAACTTCAGGTTTCAAAAAGTCAGAAGAATAGCAAAATAAAGTATTGACTTTTAACCTGCCAGGAAGCTATATTATTTTCTCATTTCAACAACGTCAAAGCCCATAAAAGTTAATTTCAGGAATGTAGGTATAGTTTTAAAATCTCATGTCCTCTTTTACTATTGGTACAATAATACTTTTACCTTTGCTTTTCATTCTAGAAATGTTTTCTTAGTGTTGGATGTAGCCCTTAATAAGTGAGGCTTTATTTTAGCCAATCATCTTCCACTGTGAAATCAGCCCTGCAACCTAGCTTGCTTAGGTTTGTACAGAGTTTAAACAAAATTTTCCATATTAATTAAGGTAAAAAATTATTTTACTTTCAGAGCAAACAAAAGAGAAACCAACATTTCTTTGTTTGCTAGTGTCTAGATGTTTTTCCCCAGGAATGTTTGTAAACAGCATGTTGCCACTACTAACCCACAGGGAAAATGGATTAGTAAAAAGCTTAGGAAAATTGCATTCAGGTTAATCCCTTAGATGTGATGCCATGATTAAATCACCCACAGCTTTGTTATTCATAAATGTATTTATCTTAAATATTTAAAATGGGAATTTAAGAGGAATTTAATATACAGTTAATTTAAGGTCCACATATTTTTTTAAAACACTACTTGTATCCTTTTTATAAATTTATGCAGAATTTTTGGTTCAGTTTAGTTACCTCGACTTTGTTTTCCCTATGCTTATAACAAGTTTTAAGAAAGATGAGTTTTAAACCTTTTGTTTCCTGACTGAAAGCCTTAACATTTTCCCGCATATATACATGAATACACACACACCATACACACACACAAAATTGACATGGTTTACCTTTTCTTTATTTCTAAGAATCAAGACTATTTGGACTCAGTGTCAGCCACTACTAATATTCATACCGTCTTTCTCTTCATTGAATTTTTTTTTTTTCTTTTTCCTGTGATCTGTGAAGAACAAAGCACACTGATAATTACAAAGTGCATCCATGTGATACCCAGATTTGTGCAATGCGACACTCATGCTTTGGTTCTTATGGCCATCATTGCCTTTTCATGTTAATAAATAATGACAGCTAACAAAAATAAGTCACCTTTTTTAATGTAGGACATCTTTCTTTGACAGGCTACTGTATCTATAATCATGAATCTAGCTCACTGCAATATCATTCACACATCAGTTTTACATGAATATGCAAAGAACACGATAATCAACTGTCAAACCTAAACAATTAATTAATTACTTGTCACAGAATCTGTTGAATATTTTTGCTTTCTAACTGAGCAAGGGAAATCTTGTCAGCTTTTAAAAATAAGATCTAGATTCTTAGTCATAATAACTACTCATCTGTCAAGTTGACACCTCGTATGGATGAAATAAACCTTACACATTTGATTTAATAACAAAACTAGGTAGTTTTAGTCCCCTATCGTAAGTACTTCATAGTAGCAGACAAATTAATTTCACAACTTTGCTATAGGCGGATTGTTTTATCTTTCTATACAGTTGGTGTTTTTACCCTTGAGAGATGTGAACTTCATCTGAGTTTAAAATGAGGATACTTAATTTAGTGCTTTTAAAAATCATAACATTTGTGAGACTTTGAAATAAAAGAATGAATTAAACTGCTGTTTTGAAATATTCAACTGTTAAATAAAGCAGAAGCTTCGTTTCTACCTTTAGGGCTGTGCTATCCAATATAGTTAATTCAAGTTGAAGTGTGCTTTTAAAGTACAAACCGGATTTTGAAAACTTGGTTCAAAAAACAGATGTATACTATCTCAATAATTTTTTACATTGATGACATGTTGAAATAACATGTATAGTGTTAAATTTTAAAAAATCAAAATTCATTTTACCATTTATTTTGACTTTTCAAAATGGGGCTACTAGGAAATTAAAAATTTACATATGTGGCCTGCATTTGTGGCTGTTCTGTTTCTGTTGGACAGCACTGTATTAGAGGAACCAGACAAAAATATAAGACCTGGTAACTGATTTCTGTGGGTATTTAACAGAGATAATTACATCTGAACATTTTCTGAAAATCTTTTGTTCATGATTTAAACAGAGTTCCAAGTATCAATGTCTTCAAATGTATATTGCATCGATTTTAAAAACATGCATCTGTCAAAATAACCAGACTCCACTATTACCATAAAAATCTGTTAGCTGTCAAAGCATATCAAAATATGCATCCTCCAAGTTCTCTTCCAGTGTGACCTCAGGATAATGCAGACAATTTCAGGCTTAAAACCAAATATGTTTGTTATTTCCAGACGAGATAGATAGTTAACATTGCAAGGCCCAAGAAGTAATACATGTTGCAATTCAAGTCTGTATTCTTGAACTTTTCCCCTGTTACTGTGAAGAGTATCATGGGTCCATTTAATCTTTTATTACTACTTAAAAGCATTCATTGCTGCAGTAGTTCTTAATTGTCTTAGAAATCATTCTCTAGCAAACTTCACATGTCCATATCACTCTTTAGGCTATACTTCATGGGATCCTGATCATTTGGTGTGTTTTTCGTCTTTCCTCTTTGAACAAAGTCAGAAAAAATGTGTCAGTAGGAGAAAGGAGGAGCTGAAGGGAGTAAATAATTCAAGATCACTTCTGTCATTTGTAGTGGCTGAGGGCTAGAAAGATATTCTTCTGTGAAGAAACTTCCAACTGGTTCAATCAAACTGATACAACTTCAGGGGGGCCACCCTCTGCAGATGGCAGTGAATTTGTACCTGTTTGTGATACAGGCACTACCACAGCATCCTTGATGTCTGTGTTTACATTGCATGAGAAGTTCTTCTCCATTTTTTTGGCAGTGTCTGGGCAATTTTGTACAAAGATCACACGGTTGTAGGCCTTCAGCCTGCGCCACAACTGAACGTAGACTTTACACTGTACGTACATGAAGACAAGACCTCCTGTGAAGCCAATGGCTACCACAACCAGTTTTGTCCAAAATGGCCATTCAAGGACACCTTTGAAATATAAAAAAGAGAGATATTATCACCAAATTATCTTCTGTGGATTTGGGCATTTTTTTTCTATGCCCCTTCAAAAGCCCATGCCTGCCTGCTAGACTATGTTAACAGGAATATACTGTTAATAACTAGAAAGAGTTACAACCTGAATTGGCTTAATAATTCCTTTTGCGTATCCTACATGTACTATCAAAATTGTATGTAAGGAAATTTTATCACTTGCCACTGAGATAATCTCTTATTTCTCCTAGCATCAAGTATCTAGTATAATTATGAGATACTATGTTAGATTTTGGACATTTGGACACATATCTAAACCTTTAAGGAAGGACAGTGAACATAATGGAAGAATCAGAGTTTAAAAGCCTTTTAAGAAGATAAGGTATGAGTACATGTATGGGTTTATATGTATTGATCTTCTCACCCTCACTCCTTTAAAAATTTAAAAGGAAGTGGAAGAAGGGAGAAGGGAGGAGTGAAAGGAAGGGGAGGACAGAAGCTGCGACATCACATCAGAGAGAATTCCTGAGCACAAATGTACAAAGGATTTAGGATTTTAGCCATTTGTTTCATAAATCATATTTGTCATTGAAAACCATCACTTTTTTATAGACATCTATATTTTTTTCTTAGTTTCCATCACTCTTACTAGAGATAGACTTTCTTTTCTAAATAAGCAGATTTAAAAATTATTTCACAGGCGTTTCAGTAACTACAATGGTGAGTATTTAGGCCACACATAATTATAAATGTTAAACATATGAGGGTCAAAAGTTCTCTTCTTGCCCACATAAGAATAAGAATAGTGTAGGGGACATAATAGCCGTCTTCTGTAAGTGAAAAGTTGCGAAGTAGAAAAATATAGCTCAGTATGGCACCATACGGTGCACCAGGTAGGGATGGTAGAAATGTGTAAAAACCACGGTAATTGAGAGTCTATGATTTGACTTTGGGTTATTTACTTATAGCAGTGAATAGAGTTATAAGAAATATCCTATCTGTATTTTGTAGTAGTGACATTTGCTTTATGCTTCTGGTAGCAAAGCAGAAGTCATGTCCTGTTTCCATCATGATGAAGCACCTTGTACCCTAGGATTAACCAAAAATAAGAGAGCTATCCTGTCAATTTCTGGTCCTGAAATAATGAAACATCGAGTATTTCTCATATCCCCAGACCCCCAACAAAGACATTTTGTTCTTGACTTTTATTTAGCTCATGTTGCAAAATCTTTCTGGATATGCTAATCATGTAATAAGATTTTGGTATTTTTTTATTTTTTGAGACAGAGTCTCACTCTGCCACTCAGGCTGCAGTGCAGTGGTGCAAACTTGGCTCACTGCAACCTCTGCCTCCCAAGTTCAAGTGATTCTCCTCTCTCAGCCTCCTGAGTAGCTGGGATTACAGGTGTGTACTACCATGCCAGCTAATTTGTTGTATCTTTAGTAGAGTCGGTTTTTCACCATGTTGGCTGGGCTGGTCTCGAACTCCTAACTTCGTGATCAACCCGCCTCGACCTCCCAGGGTGCTGAGTTTACAGGCGTGAGCCAC